GTGAGAATGTTTTTAGTTACACACCACTTAATCAACAGACACACACACATTGATTTGCTTCATGTTTTGACTACTGCTATGGCCAGCTGCAAAGCTGGTAACAGAGACGTCTCGGTTGACGTTTCTGTGTAGTATGGGGCTAGCCCAACCGAGGGGATATAATGTATAGGCCTGGTGGGTTCAGGGTCTTTCATCTTTCATCTGCCTGCGAGCAATTTGGAGGTGCAAGATACCTGAGCGTGCAATGTTAATTTTACCTGTGATCCTTTGAATAAATCAGCACTGTTTTGAAGTTACCTGGACTGTCTCGTCTCTCAGAGTTAGCAATGGTAAGAAGAACCAAAAAGTCCTTCAGGTGGATTGTTCATTTATAGTTATCACTGTTCAATTTGAGTTGACTGTAGTTTCATATACACATTTTTTCCTGTAAATGTGTTTTACATGACTGATGTTTGTAAAACATATAGTGGATTCAGAATGTATACAGGCCCCTTTACTTTCTATACACTTTATTGTGTCGTTTAGTGATTTTTGAATTGATACATATGCCATTTCTATTCATCATTTTACACTTAATCACCCATAATGACAAAGTGAAACCACGGTCATAGATTTGTTTAAAAATTATGTAAAATTATATAAATCATGTTGTGTGGGTGTTTCTCAGTGGTAGGCACAGGGAGAATGGCAAGAATAGAGGGATGGATGAATACAGCCAAATACAAGAACATCCTTGAAGAAAACCTCCTCCAGAGCACACGCAAACTCAGACTTCATTGATTTTCAACTTCAATTTCCTTGTAAGTAATGCAGGTTTTCATTATCCCTGCTCAACTGTTCTATGTTTATACCTATAGATGTGTCATATTTAGAAGTTTTGCATCGCATTTAGTCCATAATGTGAGAAAGAAAGAAAGTCACTTTCGGCTTTTCCTGTTTAGGGGTTGCCACAGCGAATCGTCACACTGACAACTTGCATGTTGACATTTGGCACGTGTTTTACGCTGGATGCCCTTCCTGACGCAACCCTGACTCAAACCCAGACCGCAGCGGCAGAGTGCTGCGCCTTAACAACTAGCCTACCAGGGACGGCTATTTAGTCCATAATGTGAACTTCACATAATTTTATACTCAGGAAAACAACAGCGTTGGTCCCTTGCTGAATGTAGGAAAAATTTTAAATGACCTATTCTGAGAAGCTATTTATGCAAAACTGCTATTTAATTGGCAAATTATTAGAATGAATCAAATCAAATGGAAGTGAATTGAAATTAATGGAATCAAAACCTAATTGAACAGAAATCAGTATTACTATCCAGTCCTAGTATTGCCCCTTAGTTTTTAACACTGCACATAATATGTTGTGTGTGTCACCACAAATTTCTGTACCACAATACTCACAGGAGATGACTGGAATGATGGCTTTGCAGATGTTCGATTCCTGTGACAAACAGCACAGTTAAAACATTTTTGAGGCAGAAAGAGCATGAACTGTCTTCACAGCGCAAAGCTTCACAGAAAGCTAGTTTAGAGCATTATTTTCAAACATTTAACAAAAGATTTAAGATTAACATAAATACTAACTGCACATAACATAAAATATGCACACATGGGAAGGTATCACTGCTACTCATATACACGGTTACAAAACGAAGGCTGAGACAAAGCTGACAATATTTCAGTGAACGCAGTCATCTTAAAAACCAGAGACCATATGTGACACTGGGCTGTGACTCTGACGTCAATTACAAGGGCTCTACACCAAGTTTTTCTTAGTTACAAAGAGGTGTTATGGCAAATTAAACACTTCTCAATCTGGTAGGCCTGACAAACTTTGTATCGCTTGTGAGATTAATTTGCTTTCAGTATTAAACTCACTCCACTTGTTCGGGTTCTATTTAATTTGAGTATTCTGATTGGGTCAATACCAATGCCAATCTAATAAACACTAATCTCATTGGCCCTGAGAGAAGCTTATTTTTCGATACACGCCCACCCACCACACAGCGCTTTAACCGGTAGGCCTCTGAGTCGAAGACCATCCACGGACTGGCATGAGAAGAAACCCCCAACTCGCTTACCTTCCGGCCGGTGTCCTGTTGCCGCTGTTGATGCCGCTGACTGGTGATGACATTCCGGTGGGGGCCGAGGTTCCGTTAGACGCCTTTCTCCCCCCTGAGCCGAGTTGCTGTTGTTGTTGTTTCAGCATTGCGAAGCACAAGGCTTAGACAGCACCAAGTGTACGCTAACAAATAAATAGATACCTCCCGATGTGAAGTTGCTTTTAACGCGAACTATCTTTAGCAATATCACTTGCCCTAAGAAGCGGAAAGCCGTTGTAAGCTCAATAAAATCAGCTATTGTAGTTAATCTTGCAAATGAATACTAGTCGGTTGTGGCCTAAAATGTTAAGGCAAAACACCTATTTATTTAAATCAAATGTATAAAATAACAGACCTCGTTCGACTGTCTATTTTGTAACCACAGTGGTTATGTCAAAGCAAACGACTAATAAAATGCCACGACTTTCGTATAATTTAGCAAAGGCTGGCTAAATTAGCATTAGCTCTTATGCTAAAGCTCACTTCGGCCGCTTCCCCCCAGGATTTACTTTCTTCTCTCGCGCGAGTCGCCGTAACTCCGGCACCGCTGACCCTTCTGTTAAAAATTAAAGTCTTAGCCTTATTGTCAGTTGCCTTAGGAAGTTAAATTTTTCAGGTTTGTTACAGAGAACCTGCTGCGGTTGTACAACACCACCTCACGGAAGACTCACTTGACTCAATCCGTGCCAGGTGGCTGACTGGAAACCGGCTAGAAGGACGAGGGGGCGTTGACGTGCGTGCGCCCCATAGACTTTATTAATGAGCGCGCGTACGTGTTCATTGAATCGATACTTGATTAATCCTGATTCATCCATGCTGTAAACACGAATAGATGTTTTCAACTGTACACGTGGCAGTCACCACACAAAACACTAATATTGTTTTTTTTTTTAAACAAAGTCTCCCTTTCATATTCATTATTTTTATATGTATGCTGCTTTATTCTTTCCATTTCATTCATAAATTCATCAATAACCTCTATTAAGAATCGCAAATACCTAGGCAAACTGGTCTGACCTGACCTAGCAAAACAGCGTTGTCAGTGCGTCAATACACCAGTTATTACGGCTCTAAGCTACAGACAAGCATGGCAGCCTCCAGTAAATAGCGTTTGAGTAACAAAGCAGGAGTTTTGTAATTTTATCAAAGATCTCGATCTTTCATAAATCTTATGCCGATCACGAAAGTAAACAAATTCGTCTCCTGAAAAAGAAATTGTAAGTATCTGTCATTGTTAGATACGATATAGACCTAGACTGGGTAGCCTATGTACAAATGCATGTTAGTAAGCCTACATGCTACATGCCAAGTTTTGAATGATCCTGTTTGTAAGGATTCAAGGAAAACCACCTGACAAAATGTATAACTCCAATGAATATTATCATGCTGCAATTTTTAATAGTTGTGGTAGAGAAAGCAACAGCTTGAAGCTGTTGGGTGGAACGTGATGAAAAAAAATCTGACTTTGAAAGGCTTTAGTTTGGTCCTAGATAACCCTGGCTCTGACTGGTTTGAATTTATGTCATTTACAGTGAATTTTGATTTGCCAAGTTTTATTAAATCACATAATAAATTATAGGAAATTGTATCTTAACTTAGAGGTAATGATCGTTCATTTTATACATCTAATCTAATATTTGGACTAGTTCGAAGTGACTGTTCAGTTATTGGTATTGATAATAGCCTACATTCAGAGTTGGGAACACACATTACCCCTTCTCATTCAGTGTGTTTTCAATAAGGGCAAGCCGTTTCCCTGTGAGTGTTTTTCTGTATTCACCAGCATTCAGCTTCGCTATCAAAACACATTAGTTGTTATCTGTAAGGCCTGATACAACAAAAATGTAACACTAGAAAAATACCCATTCCATATGTTTGACTCTGTAAATCTTACTAAGAGTGCCTTTGTGCTAATAAGTGTTATTCCACTGGAATCATACAGTAAGTAGATCCTGCTTAACTAAAAGTTAAACATATTTTGCCCTAATTTTGTTTTCTCCCTGTGACCATCTGACTTTTACTTTCACAGGTGTGCATCTCACATGTTGACAAAGAAGCTTTCTACCCTTCACAGTTTCCTGTTACTGGCTTCTAGACGTGCTGGTCACCTTGCTAGACAGCAGTATGATGTCATTGTTGTGGGTGGAGGACACGCTGGGGCTGAGGCTGCAGCAGCAGCAGCCAGAATGGGAGCTGAGACGCTCCTGGTCACACAGAAAATACATACCATTGGTGAGAGAAAAAGCGTCTCTTAGTGCAGTCTGTCCATCTAGATAGTTTTATGGTTATTTGGTGTGAACTGGGTTGCAAACTGAAATATACAGATAGACACTTCATGGTCCAAACAGAGTCCTCTCCTTCTCCTCACATTCCAGGTGTCCTGTCCTGTAACCCATCTCTGGGAGGAATAGGGAAGGGCCACCTGGTGAAGGAGATTGATGCTCTGGATGGGCTATGCGGACGAGCAGGAGACTGGGCTGGAATTTATTTCTCCATCCTGAATCGTAAAAAAGGCCCAGCTGTGTGGGGCCCAAGAGCCCAGCTGGATCGTCAGCGGTACCGTGAATTCATTCAGGTATCTCTTACACAGATATTTATGTGTTTAGTATGACAGAATTTTTGTCTGTGAATGGGTCGAAAGTATCTGTGTGTCTGACTGCCGTTTCTCAGGCAGAGCTGCTGGGCACTCCCAGGCTGACGGTGTTGGAGGGTTCGGTAGAGGAGCTGCAGGTAACAGAACCAAACCCAGAGGAGCCTGGACACCACAGAGTCACTGGGATACGTTTAGGTAGGAAGCAAATGACCGCCACGGTATCTTTTAAAGTTCACCTTAGCTCTTTTAATTGTACTATTACTATCAGGGTGTAAATAAAATTCTACAGCCAATCAATTCTTATAAATTATGACTAGTTTGTCTTTACTTGTTAATTAGTCAGTTTATTGGGAAACCAACTTGCAATAAGCTGTACTACGCCACTCAAAAACCTGGTTTGGTTTCTGGCAGCAGCTGACGGTACATGTACACTGTGTACTATCACTGTGGTCAGTAGATTAAAAATGTTATCTGAAATGAAAAACTATAGTGATTAATGCACTGGTTGTTTAACTCATTTACTTTTTTCTATAAATTTCCAAGTTTCTGTCAACACAATTTTGTTTCTCAATTTTTGTTCTTGTTAAGTTTTTGTTTTCAAATTTAGGTACATTTCTGTCTTTCCCCCCCTCTATTAAACTACTTTTTACATGTTTTTACTTGTTTAAGACAAATATGTTTTGAAAATCTGGACTTAATTTGACATCAATCTCCAACTTCTGCACCAACATTTCTAAAATATCCCAGTGTCAGGTAGTAGTTACATAAAAACAAATGGTCTCCTCAGCCATTTATGACTCTTTTGCACTTCTTTCAACATCTTTTAAGCAAATGGAAGCCACCAGATCTCAGCCCGCTCTGTGGTTCTCACTACCGGTACTTTCTTGTCCGGCTCCCTCTTCATGGGCCAAACTACGTCTCCCGGGGGTCGGATTGGAGATGCTCCATCGAGTGCTGGCCTGTCCTATACACTGCAGGAGAGGCTGGGGCTCAGGGTAGGCAGGCTGAGGACTGGTACGCCTCCCAGGATTGTGAAGGATTCAGTAGACTTTTCCCTGGTTGAGCCTCACCTTCCTGACAAGCATCCAACTCCATTCAGCTTCTTGAATACACACGTACGCTGCAAGGTAAAGTTTATGTGGAGTAGAGGAAGATATGAAATTAGCAAATTCTTACACTTGAGAAGCTGAAGTTGAAGTAAACTCTTTATCAAGTAAACAAATGTCACTTCCAAAGTTGTCATTGATCTCTACAGTTTGTCCTTAAGTGTCCTTTCTGATTTCTGATTGATGAATGCCTTACTTTGAAATTAAACACGGTGCAGCCTGAAGAGCAGCTGCTTTGCTATCTGACCTGTACTACCCCTGGTGTAGAGAGAGTGGTAAGAGAGAGCCTTCATCTCAACTGTCACATTCAGCAAGATACCAAGGGTCCCAGGTACATACATAAACACTCAGTGGAAATGTTAGACATTGTTCTCAGTATGTGCTGAAGCTCATTCAGAATTGTTTGGGTCCTCATCTTTCACAGATACTGCCCCTCCATTGAGTCACGAGTACTTCGCTTTCCAGGCCGAGCGCACCAGGTGTGGCTGGAGCCTGAGGGGGTGAACTCTGACCTTCTGTACCCTCAGGGACTGTCCATGACCATGCCCCCTGACATGCAGCTCCTCCTCATCAGAGAAATCCCCGGCATGCAGAGAGCTGAGATCCACACGCCAGGTGCACACTCTTGATCTACAAACAATTCGGAGCCTATCTAAAACCAGGGGTGCCTCAACAGAATCACCCATTTACAGTGACACAGCATGTCTTCTTTTCTCCCTGAAATTACAGGTTACAGCTTAGTCAGTCCTTTGCTGATGTAAAGGTTTTGACTGACATAAGTTTAGTTGATGTATCTGACAATCAAACATTACAAGGAATGTTTTTTTTTTTTTTTTGGTTTTCCAGGTTATGGTGTGCAGTACGACTTTGTGTGCCCCACTCAGCTGAGCCCTGCCCTACAGGTGAAAAGCACCCAGGGTCTCTTTCTAGCCGGGCAGATCAATGGAACAACAGGCTACGAGGAAGCTGCTGCACAGGTTGCTACTATTTGCTGTAAATTCTACAGCCACAAATCAACCTGGAGATAAATCTAGTATTTGGCTGAATATCCCTTCTACACTCTATCACTTACACACAGCAGGAAGAATAGATCATCTTATTGTATACCCACATGGGACCTACATGTTTGTGTGTAAGGCTTTAGCTCAGTTACTGACCCATGACTTACCACCAAACTCTATGATTTGTTCAGCAGTTCTGCTATGTCATTTCCGTGTGTTAGGTGTTGTGGTCCCTGGAGACACAATCAACCAGAGTAGTAGTAGCTACCAGTAGACAGGACTGAGAATGGAGATACTACTACTACTTCAGAAGTTAAAGTGGGATCTAATTGTATTATTACATTTTGCGAATTTACTGATACTAACAGCTTTTCTTATGTAAGGTTAGACTGGAACAGGTCTACATCTTTACAGAAAATAATGAAACCTGAGGAAAACTCTTGTCATCCTGTCTGCGCAGGGCCTGTGGGCGGGGGTGAATGCTGCTCGCTGGGCACTCTCCATGCCTCCACTAGCGCTGTCTCGAACAGAGAGTTATATTGGGGTTCTCATTGATGATCTGATCAGTCGAGGAGTTACAGAACCATACCGCATGTTCACCAGCAGGGCTGAGTTTCGAGCTTCTCTAAGGCCGGACAACGCTGACCTTCGCCTCACTCTGAAAGGTGGTGTCTGGAAATTTTAGAGCAGACTGTACAAAAAAAAAAATCTCTCTTTACCTTTACTGTGGTTGTTGTGTAAAGACTGGCTCTGTTGTTTGTTTTTTAAAATAAATAGTGTGTGTAAAATACCTCCTGGAAAACAAGTCAACAAATCATATCATTATTAAGGTATTCAGTGAAATACCAGTGGTAGAAGAAGTAGATTATTTACTTAAGTAGAAGTAGCAATACCACATTGTAATAATACTCTGTTACAAGTGAAAGTCCTGCATTCAAAATGTTACTTAAGTAAAAGCGCAAAAGTAGTCATTATGCAGAATGGTCCATTTCACATTAATGTATATATTACTGGATTATATTTAATGTTGCAGCTGGTAAAGGAGGAGCTCATTTTAACTGCCTTATATACATATAATTTGAAGTACAGCACATAGTGTTCGGTACCTTGTGAATTTACATGAAGGATCAACAAAGTCTTATGATTATACTGCATTTTGTTTTATTCCTCTGATTTTGAAGATAACTGACGTTATCAAATGTAATGAGTACAAAGTACATTATATTTCTCTGAAATGTAGTGAAGTCAAAGTATGAAGCATAAAATGAAAACACTCAATGTATAGATAGCTCAAAATTGTACTTAAGTACAGTACTTGAGAAAATGTACTTAGTTACTTTCCACCTCTGTGAAATACTGTACATCAATATATTGGATTTTAACAATATTGCTTAGCCCTTGTGTGCATTTTACCTGTTTGACTTGTACAATTTCACATCAGGATGCAAGACACCCTGTAGATTCATGAGAGTTCTCATAAACTGCTCTTCTAAACTTTGTCCTGTCAGGGTTTGAGGAGGTAGGATGTGTGTCTTCTTTGCGCTACCAGGAGGCCGTGAGAGTGAGGGACAGTCTCCAGGAAGCACTAGCAGCCTTACAGACCCTCACTCTGTCCGCCCCCAACTGGACGAAGAAGCTGCCAAACATCCGTATAAGTGAGGTCAAGACAACAAGTCTGACGTGAGTGACAAACGTGGAATCACCAGTGTAATGTGTTGAGAAGTTTCATCTTCGATACAGCTAAAGTACATATGTGGCCAGTCTTACATCCTGACCTAACTGTAAGTTACTGTGTGGCCTTTTTTCAGTGGTGTGGATCTGTTGCAGTACAGAGATGTGTCCTTTGAAATGTTGGCATCTGCCTTCCCAGAGTGCCTTTCACGTTTTACAGAATTCTCACAAAGACTCAAGATAGAGGGTAAAAACTGATTTGGGCATTTTCAGGCAACAGGAAACAGAAACCTTGCCTTCATAATTCTTTCTAGATGAAACATTTCTTCTGTCTTGTAGCTGTGTACAGGTTTCACTGTGAGCTCCAGAAGAAAGAGATTGAGAGAATTCAGAAGGAGGAGAACATGGCTCTCCCACAGGACATTGACTATTTCTCTTTGCCAGTGTCTCTGTCTCAGGAAGTCAGAGAGATTCTGGACAGATTTCGACCCAGCACTGTGAGTTTGCACATTCAGAGTATACTGGATTTAATTGCCTACCAACAGTGTTGTAGTACTTCAATCCAGGACTCGCACACGAGTCCCGATTTTCAGACCAGGGCTCACGACTCGACTTGAGCACAGCATTGACTGCATCCAGACTCAGAAGTTGGAGATATGGACTTCGTTTTTTTTTTTTCATAATAGGCAATAAGAATTTGGCTTAAATTATTGGTATTAAAACATGCTTGCCCGCACCATGTTGTATCTGGCACACTTCCATCAAAGGGTGTACTCCTCCTTTCTCTAAATGATTTTTACAGTTGTCCATTCTCTCACACAGTAAGTAAACTCCTTTTAAATGGTGAGAGCTGTATTGATTGTGTTTAACGCAGACCTCGATGACTTGTATTCAAGTAAGGGAGACTCGACCCGGACTCTTCTTTTGTGACCTGGACTTAAACAATGGGGACTCTAGACTTGACTCAGACTTGATATTCAGTGACTCAACTACAACACTGCCTAGGAATAGCTTTTCAAATACATTTTAAAGGCAAAATGGTAAAAAATGTTTTATTTACCTGCTGAAGAGCCTAGGGTTCAGTCATCTCTTAGCTAAATAAAGATAACATTTGTGCTTCTACATTCTCCAGCTGGGTGCTGCTACACGTTTGCAAGGTATAACACCTGCTGCGATTGTCAATCTACTCCAGTACGTGTACCACACAGGGCAAAAGGAGAGAGGACCACGCAGAAACAAACCAGACCATAAGGAGGATAGAGAAGAGGAGCTGTGTGCAAGAAATGCATCTATACCTCAGTGAAATGACTGATAAACTGCCCTGTAAAGGTGTATGTATTCCTCAAAATGTACAAAACAATAAATTGAAGTGTTTAAGGACATGTGCCATTTTCATGTTTTACATCAGGTAGATGAGCCTTTTTATTATAAAAAAGCAAAACAATAAAATAAAACGAACATTCATTTCATTCATATAAAGTAGCCCTAAAAACAGCATTTCTCCGACTGCCCTCTGTTAACTTCAGTATCCAACTACCTGGTGAAGATTTCAATTCCTGTTAGCAAAATGACTGTGAACATCACTGAACTCCAGGTGGCCTTCACAGTAGCACTGCTGTTAATAATGTGCCCGTCCAGCTCATCTTTGCCTCTAGTGAAGAAACCAAATGGAAACTTCCAGTTAGGCTGAGGCAAGCCCCTGGGGGGTTCTGGGTAAACTGTAGTGTCAACAAACATCACTTCAGTTGTTACACGCAGAGGGGATGAAATTGGACACTGAGAAAAAGACAGGAGGAGAGTATGTGAACGTGTGTCACATAAAAAAGAATAATTTTTGAAGATGTGCTCAGAATGAGAGTGTATATGTGCTTACTTTGAGATTTTGACACCGGAAAAGGTATTTGGCCCCCAGGATGTAGTTCTGGTAAAGACCTAAGAGACCCTGGCGAGCCCACAGCACTTGGATCGAGAGAGAGTTGGGGAGGACGCAGCCTGAGTCACATGTTTCCTGAGGAAGGGAACAAAATAAATGATTGTGAATAAGAGTATCAGAAAATCAGAAAGCATCACACTTAGGATTCCTACTTCAGCTGTACCTTTGGGCTGACAGGACACTCCTGAGCAATGACTCTTGTCCAGTTCAGTTGGGAGCCAGAATTCATGGCTATCTCATCAGGAGCAGCAAGTCCACGCAATATTTTGTAAATCTGGGACCGTAGCTCAGGACAGTCACTAGATGGGGAACTAACCAGCACACAGCGATGAACGAGAGACACTATTGCATTGTAATCTTAAATTCTGTGACTGATTTCCAACGTCACAACTCCTCTTCATGACAGTGGTGGTCAAAGATAAGATGAGCTCACCTGAATGTGCAGCCAGTTATGGTGTTGTATGGGAAGAGGATGTGCGTTCGTCGGTTGGGGTCAGAGGAACACTCTCCACTCTGGGAAACCCCCAGCGTGGTCAGCTAGCAAATGGTCAAGGAAGTGTGATGCAAAACAAGGCTAGCTGTATAAATGAAAATATAACTTAAGTTCACAGTTTAAATAGTGAGGATACTGTCATCATTTCGCCAGTAAAGCGGCCATTCATGGGAGATCCCGCTCTGAGTCCGTCTGCAGGCATCAATCCCCCTGGAGCGGGGCTGTGTGTGGAGAGCTAGAAGAAACAAATGGCATTTATGTTTGAATCCACTGTTCATGTAGTGTCTGAGACAAAATCTTTGGCTTTAACATGTTACCTGGAACTGCACCGAGTGTGTCTGCAGCAGTAACTGGTTTGGATCCACATCAGCTAAGACTACATTTACTGTTGCATACGTGAGTTCTCCTCGGTTTGTGTATCCTATTACAAACTCCACCTATGAGAAAATCAGGAATAAACTTAGTTTATTGTTTCATCATAAACTCAAAGTAGACACGACTTAAGACAACAAATAATAATGTTATATGCTCACCTTTTTCACTACATTAATACACGATTTGTTTTGTTGGCTTGGTGCAGGCCAGGTAGACATTGGAGTCACTGGGATCTGAAAAGATGAAATTTTATAGAAATAGTCTGACATTCTTTTTGTAAATGTGCTTGTTTTCTTGTTACAGTTAGATAAGAAGACTGATACCACTGTTGCGTTTCTGTCAGTGTGATGTATAGCGTTCAGCTGTATAACAATGTGACTTACCAGAAAGTCTAACACGGGTTCTGTCTTGACTTTTGGAGTCTGTAATCAGAATGTTTATGTTAGCCTGTGAGATTCCCACCAGTAATTATATGCATTAAAGTATTTAATGCAGGCAGATTTTGACCTTGATCAGGCTCAGATCATAGAAGTAGTTGCTGGCGTTGAGACTTGGGTCTGTGGTACAGGACTGAGGAGTCAACATGCGAGTACAAGACAGAGACACAGATCTCAAGAATTCTGCAAGCAGAGGAAAACAGAAGGTCATCAGATAAAGAGTTATACTGGGTAATATCTACTCAGCAGCACTGTATCAGCAGTAGAGTCCTTCAAGTTCCTGCACTCCTGCGTTTTCCAGGACCTGAAGTGGACGTCCAACATCAGCACCATCATCAGGAAGGCACAGCAGAGGTTGTACTTCCTGCACGAGCTCAGGAAGTTCAACCTGTCCCAGGAGCTGCTGCTACAGTTCTACAGGGGAATCATATATTTTGTTCTCTGCTCAGCCATCACTATATGGTTTGGTTCAACAACCCAAAAAGAACAGGAGCAGAACCCAGCAGACAGTCACGACTACAGAAAGAACTCCTCTCCTCTGGACGGTGCTTCAGGTCACTGTACATACAACCACACACAAGGACAGTTTCTTCCCCCAGGCCATCACACTGAAGAACATTCAACCCATGACTGTTTAACAGAATGACAACCCTCAGTGTGATGGCCTGTTTATACACATATATTTATAAGTAATTTATTTTTATGTTCCTAATACACATTCCTTTTTCTTGTTTGGAATTTTTTTCTTTTCTTGTTTTCTATCTTCTTTTGTTTACTCATTGCCTTATGGAAGAACATTGTACATGCACAGTGAGAGTCACTTTACCCAAGTCAAATTGCTCATGTCCAACACACCTGGCCAATAAAGCTGATTCTGACATGGCTGTGGTATAGAGCAATTTGCTAGCTGTGTATACATTTGACATTTTGTTTACACATATGCCCGCAAATTCACTTTTGCCCTGCATCACAGTTAGTATCAGTACAAAATTACAAGGATCTGAACTTCAGGCATCATTGAAAGGAGATGAAGGGATCCTCTGAGCAAATATGATTTTTTTTGGCTGTTTGTTGTACATGCAGAAAATGACATAAGGAAGAGCCTGACACCAAACTTTACCTATGTGACAGGAATGGAACTGAAAAGCTTTAGGAACACTCTGCTACCCTGTGATACTCAGCAGGACAATATACTTTTCATGTGGTGTAAACGTACTTGCGGGGTTGCGGTTGATACAGAATGCAGCAGCTACCCCTGGACACGGCTGATTAAGGAGACCCCGCACAGACAAGCTGGAGAAGTACGTCTGGATGACATCATCAACCTACAATAAATAGTCTTATGTGCATATCATTTATTAAAGATACATTCGCCAATTCAGTTCTAGTACTCACTAGCACAGTGAAATCTCAAAGGTTTAACATTTTGGATACAATACTGCGAGCAGAAATCTTTCGTTACTCTGTAAAAATCTCTGCTGTGGATGATGCTTGTAGGTGCTGGTGGTGAGAAGTGGTACGAGTCCCCCAAAGCTGGATACTGTGATAGAGCTGGGAGAGACTGGGGAGCACTGTCTGCTGGAAGAGGTAAAAAAAAAAGAAAAGAAAATTTTTAACAACATTTGTAGGGGAGATACTTACATGCTGATCATTACATGTTGTGAAATTAGTTTTAATTTTATCATTGATAGAACTGCTCTTTCTTAAATAACTGTTTTGAATTTAAATATTCTTATACTTACCCTCAGACCGGACACAAAATAAAGAATCGGTCACAGTGATGAGAGATGAGTTCACATTGGCTCTGAACATCAGCCATTTCTCAATGCAAACTCCTGATCTGTAAAATAAAAGTTTAAATGTTTTTAAATGCCACAAATGTGCACTTTATGCTACAACATTAGAGCTTGTGCAGAAGACTTACACAGCTTTCTGTGGACATCCGGTGAAGACAGTACTCAAGTTAGCAACATCGCAATCAACTGTATCACAACAGCAGCCGATGTCACAGAAACCAGGGATTAAATCACAGAGACAACCTAGAAAAACACTTGGTAGTTTCAGAAGTCTCATTAGGATTTGAGAGCTTGTCAATTAATAGTTTCTTAAGTTCAGCAGATATTACAGTTGACTGGCTGTGCACAACAAAGAAAATGCAAACTAGTACAAGCCCGGGAAATAACATAGCATTTTACAGATATAATGCAAACAATTTTGAGCACCTATTGCATTATCTCATGGCTTACACCTAGACACAGGTGATAGGGTGTGATAGAGTCCAACCATAGAGCCACAAAAATAAATTAGGAGGACAAGTTCAAGAGTGCACATTGCGTAAACAGGGGGAGGGAGTTTGGTGGGTCATGGAGCAGCTCTAAAAACCTTCATCATACCATCTAAACAAGAGGCTTACTAGGTCTAGCAAACAAAAGACTGCTGCAGAATGGCAACACGGCTAGGTGGACTAAGGTGTTTAGCTCATGAGATGACAAGGCGTAGGTTTAAAGTTACCCCCTGGAGTCACCACAGGTGGCACGGTGGTTGCAGTGGGAGCTTCCGACACGTTCAGCGCCGTGGTAGCGTTGTAGTCCAGTGTGGCGTTCACGGTGACCGTCCCAGTGATGCCAACACTGGTGGCCTCTGTACCGCCAGGAGCAGGGGTGGCTGAGCTCACAGGCTCTCCATTTGTTGGGCTAGCAGTGACGTTTGACGTGGCCCCTGATTCTGTGGTTGCGCTTACCAAACGTGCACACAACACGAGAAATATCTTAATTGAACGATACCACCGGCAGGAGTTCATCTCATCAGAGTCATGGTGATGGTGCGGTGAAGACTGCGGATTCTAACTATCTGAACAGCTAAAGTTAACTTGAGAATTAGCTGAAATAATTTCGCCTACATCGCTCACTGTAACTGAAGCAACACGAAAATATATGGTAAAACAAAACAATGTTTAATAATTCACTTAACACAAAGGAACACAGAAAAAACACTAGTGCTTCACAGGGAAATTTTGAGCTAACCATGCTAAATTCATTACCAGAAAGCAAGCTTCTTGTAACCAAGGAAGTTGTCATGGAGACTTCCGTTTCCAACATAATACTACCGTAAACCTTGTGTAAGAGAAGAAAGACATTTTCCCAACTGAGATCTGTGTAATCGATCGGCATATGTCAACCCAGGGTCATAAATGCCACAATCAATGGGTCGAAGCATTTGAGGAATTTTGAATAACACTTGGTAAAATTGTACTATCAGTATTTAAATATTAACAATTAATTAGTAGCCTAATTAATAAAAAGCTCTCCACCAAACTCTTAACATGCATCATGCCAGGTGTAGATATGCAACAGAGGGCAATGCAGCCATGTTCTTGAGTGAATGAGACACTTTGATATCCCCCCCCGGCATTATTTATCACGTATTAAATAATTAACTACTCTTTTTTTAATTATTATTTATATTTTTATTATTTTATACCAGGGGTATTCATCTAATTGTGAGACAGGGCCCACCATTATGACTAGAAAGTAACCTGAAGACCACTGTTGTGGGGTGGATAGACTAAATGGGCACTAGTTTAATGCTGAAAGTCATCTTGACTTTTCTAAATTGTAAATACTTGTATGGATTTGATTGTCTGTGAACAATCAAATCCATACAAGTAATACATGGAAATTTATTTATGAGAGCTGCTGTACCAGAGTCAAATTTCTCGTGTCCAACACACCTGGCCGGTAAAGCTGATTCTGGTGTCTTAAACTGAAATTGAAGGTGAGTGAAGTGAAAACTAGCTTTCTGTGTCAAACAATTCACATACATCATTCTGCACAGTGACGGTCAAACATCCAAGTAGTCAAATATCCAAGAAAGTAATAAGCAAAGAAGTAATAAGCAAAACACATCTGTAAGTAGAGGGAGACTAAAGGGATTATAACTTCAGCTCAATCTTTGTTTTTGTGTGGTATCTGTGTCTGCTTTGTAAAACTCATGGAGACAAAAGCATATATTTGGTGAAGACATACTGTATTTCTTTCCTTATTTCCTTGTGTTATCTGTGTCATTCCCTTCACAAAACTCTTTTAAAAGTTCTGCCTGTATGTTATCATTTCAAGGCAGGGTAGACAGACTGAAAGAACAAAAACCAATGGTAACAAGACTATGAGAAGGAGTAGGTGAACGCGCTGGTTGTCGGCCTGAAAACACGATGAACTGGCAAGGGAATGGAAAGTGAATTGGGTATAAATAAGGTGAAGGACTGAGTGAAAACAGCTGGTGTCAATTAGGGAAATGAGTGGCAGGTGTGCAAGGTGACGTGATCAGGGACCGGAAAACAAAGAGAGGGAGGTGCAAGTCTGACAAATTCAGCACAGCATTATCCTCCAGGTAGTCATAAACATTACATTTATTCCAGAAGCACTCAATCCTTTGTCAAACATTTCAGGAAACTCCATGAGCTGAACTTTTTTTTTAAAATAAAAACAAACTTATCTTTGGCAGGATAATGAGTGTGGAAATCCTGGAATTTAAAAGCTAAGCAGTTGCTTCTGTCTGAACAGAACATTCAGTGCTTTGAGAAACTCGGCAACAAACTTTGCAGCAGCATGCCTGTACAAGCCTAAAACAGCTGAAATGAAAGCCACAAATTACATCTTTACTGCAATTAGGCAACTTCTCCAAAGGTATTTTTCAGCTGGACTAAACATTTTCTGTCTCTCATAAAATGTGGTCAGGTTAGTTGTTTAGTTTTTTTAGTACAAATTCAAGCCTCTCACTGAGACCCAACTGATGTTTTTTGGTAAAACAACAAATAATTGCAAGAACACATAAATTGTAACTAAAAGTGGCAAGACTGAAATAATACCTCATGAACATAAAAACTTGCTGAGCTGACAGATTAAATGTTCCACCTCTCTTTCTTCCCTTTGTATGTGATTATAGCTGGGCTCTGGTATGTGGAGCTCTTTCTAATCTAGACCCTCCCTTGTTCCTTCCTTTAATTACAGAAGAAGCACTGTGAAACAAAGAGGAATTTGCATACAATTGAGAATGTTACATAGGGACACTTTAGCGTAGGTCTGCCTGTGCACTTTCCAGCAATTGCAGACAGATAAGACCCTGGCACGTGGACAGCTGGGCTACAAAGATACAAAAAGAGGAAGAGAAACATTTTCGAGTGTCTGAACCAACAGCAGCCTACTGAGAGATTCTTGCCTTTGGATTCAAATTCTGGGAATTGGCCTGAAAACCAGAAGAACTCAAGCCACAAACAAGACTAGTGCCAGCAGATAAGGACATAAAGGAGAGATAATGATTGCGTGACAAGCATTTAGTCTCTACACAGACTGTAGACAGTCAAGCAGGACGAGTCGTTTGGAATCAGCTGCGTTGTTGTGTTTGACTGACAGAGGAGCCACTAGAAGAACCACTGAACTGGCCTTGTGCAAGTCGTTTTATATTTTACACAGTTTATGATTCTTGATTTCTGAGAGTGACTTTTGAAAGTGTCAGTCATGTCAAAGGAGGAACAGTTGAACTACAGCGAGGCCATTCAGAACGCCAGTGCCTACCTGATGCGCTTCCCTCTCATTCCAGTCAGAGGAATTCCTCTCATGAACTATATCGCCAACAACTGGGACTCCATCTGGGCTTTCTGTCCTGACCCTTCAGACCTCCTCATCGCCACCTACCCCAAAGCAGGTACTCACACAGCTGCTGCCAGATGCACCAGAGTTAAGCTAAAGTAAATCTCTAGGTTAACGAGACTGCAAACCAGTAACCATTCTACACAATCAAATTCAAATTCAAATTTCTGGGTGTCATGGTTGACGACAGATTATCCTGGAAATCTCATATCAGACATGTTCAGCATAAAATAGCTAAAAATATATCAATATTGGCAAGGGTTAGATATATGCTGGACGTTAAAGCATTGCGCATTTTGTATTCTTCATTGATTTTGCCATATTTGGAGTATGGCGTTGAAAACTGGGGAAATACATACAGGAGTTCACTTCAACCATTGTACATATTACAGAAGAGAGCGATAAGAGTTGTGCACAAGATGGGGTATAGGGATCACACAAATGTAGTTTTCATACAGTCTAAATTGTTAAAATTCTTTGATTTAGTGGAATATAAGACTGCTGTGTTTATGTATAAAGCCAGGAACGACTTATTACCTGGTGGAATCCAAATAAATATAAATGTATGTGTTATACAAGATATATGCAAGAATAAGATTTATTCGAGAAGGCATTAAGGAAACACTCTGTTTTATCTAAGTAGAGATACTGCTTGCAGCCAATGATGCATGAAATTTTGTATAATATGATGTCATGGGGTAGGACTGGATAAGTCTGACTTCTTCCTACTCCATTCAAACATGTAATAGGTGTAAGCAAACTGATTTTGAATTAGCATTGGTTGGATATGTGTAATTATGTGTGTTGTTGTCATTTGTTCATTTGTTCTGTTCTGCATGTTTGAAAGAATAAAATCAATCAATCAATCCTCTGAGAGCTGTTTGATGAAAATTGGAGTTATGGGGATGTCTAGGGAGACAAAAATGGGGATCACATTTTCCTAAAATTCCCATGTTTGTTCTTCTGAGCAAATCAGATTCTTTAGCCAATTAGGTTTGGTTTTTTTGTTATTTGCTGGTATAAGGCAAAGTGAATGTGGCAGCCAGTAAATGGTCATTGTCTAATCTCTGTAAAATTGTGGAAAAGACACTGGATTGGTCTGGATGCAAGATGTGATATCTCCTTAGACTGGTGAGATTTAGTACATGGAAATCCCAATCATTTGACCTGGGGATAATGTGTGTTTTTGGTACATTAGGGACCACATGGACCCAGGAGATAGTTGACCTGCTTCTTCACAATGGAGATGCTGAGGCCTGCAAACGAGCCCCCACACCTGTCCGCAGTCCCTTCCTAGAGATCTGCTCCCCACCACCCATCCCCTCAGGTGTGTATTTCCTTCTGTGATTATTTATCTATGTATATAATTGGCCTTACATGGTTTGTATTTTCCATTTGTTTTCCTCTACATATTCTGTCTAAAATATCCACTTCAAGTGCAATTTGCCTCCAGTAGCTTTTGCTAAAGCTCCTCAGATATTTTCTGCTTCTCAATTCAGGTGCATTCTCCATCTGGGTCTGATTGTACCATGTCTTAACTCACAAAGCCAGTTTCTGGATAAATGTTCTCATAATGGTGGCAAAAATAAACCAAGTCAAGTTGTTCAGTTAGTAGTCAAGTGTGCTCTTTTAGTAAAATCTGAATCGGGATTCTGCAGCTGTATCATATTACCTGTTCATCTAAAGTTGAAGAGTAACCAAAAGAGTGCCGGAAAATTGCAAAAGAAGTTGATATTTTAACATATGGATTGAATTTCATACTCACAGCTCCATTCATTTTGCTTTGAAAATAATTCTAGGTACAATAATTTAGGTATAATTTAATTTGTTTTGTTTAATATATCAATTTCCCAAAATCCATGTGTCAGGTCTTGAGCTCCTGCACAAAATGGATCCCCCAAGAATGATTAAGACACATCTTCCGTTTCAGCTGGTTCCTCCAGGATTTTGGGAAAACAAGTGCAAGGTAAAACTCAATTGGTCAGATTTACTGAGAGCAAAATCCTGCATGAATTTTTATGCTTTAGTCTGAACAATAGGTACACTGTAAAGGGGTTAAAGGTTCATGATACAGTGCATTTAAAAGCGGTCCAGAGGTTAACAATACAATGCTGTATAACAACTGCCTCCTCAAATGACCTTTTCTGTGTATTGTAAATCCTTTTTATATGTTTGCCCCCTATGATTGGGTGTGAAGACTATTTACGTTGCACGCAATGCCAAAGACAACCTGGTGAGCTACTACTACTTTCATTGTATGAACCTGACCCTGCCTGAGCCAGGGCCCTGGGGGGACTACATCCAAAAGTTCATGCGAGGACAATGTAAGCCGATTAAATCACACTCCCCAGTGTCATGTTACCTTGAATCAAATTTGCTGAGCTAAAAAATAACCACCACACAATGCAACTTGGTTACATGGTTCATTTTGGCTTTGGCTGGCACATTTACTCACTCAACCAGCTTCATTAATTGCCCGGAGCTGTGTACTGGTACAAAGAATCTATTGAGGCACAATTGTCAAGTGGCTTAATTAAATATTACTAAGTCATTTAAGAACAACTTTTGGGTTGCCTGATTAAAAAAAAAAAAAAAAAAAAAAAAAAAAGTTTTTCTCTGTGGCCCTTTTTTTTTTTTTTT